CAATGATGGGCTGTCACTCTGCTCTTCTTATTGAGTGTTGTTTGTAGTAAGCAACTTCTCATCATCCCATCATCTTGATCCTCAGTCGTTGCTCTTATTCTTTCCCCATATATAATTTCTAAACTTTTGGAATATGAAAAGTAGATTCAGATTTTGAATCTGTGACTTATCAAGTGAAGTACAGCATCACCTTAGTGTGGTTGGGATTCAAAGTTCTCTGCAAATGATTCCAACATGAGTTTTCTGAGTAGGCATTCCAAAAATATTCTTACTTTAGAACTCCCTCTGTGCCAGGCGTTGTTCTTCTCCCAAGCAGCCACCATCCTCTGAAAATGAACAGAGATGCCCTTCTTCTAAATTTCCACAGCATCCATTCTACCTGTTTCATTGCTCACCTCATGGAATCACAGCTTCCTATTTATATCCTCCTACAAAATGTGAGCTCCTTATGGATAAAAGTGGAACCTATAACCATTTTGCTGCTATCTGACAAACCATGATCTATGATTACTAAATAAATGTTTGATGAATGGATAGATAGGTTAAGATGATTTGGATAAATGGGTGAAGATAATTTTGACTAAATATTTTTTTTCTGGTCTGTCTTCTTCTTGTTACCATTAAACTAGAAAAATCGTGAGCTTTTATAACAAAACTTCAGGTAGAAGATAAATATCAGTTCAGTTTGCTAAGTCTGAATATTTACAAATTCCCATTCCTATTGCCTTTTGATTTTCTATTTTGTGAAGAAGCAGGTTATTTAATCTATGCTCATTTTCCTCATCTGCCAAATGGAAAAATAATAATATTCATTATAGCTCATAGGGTTGATGTGAATAGCAAAATACAGCTTATTGCCTGATTTTGAATGACTCCTGAGCTAAAAATAAGATTTACATTTTTAAATGGTGGAAAAAAATCAAAAGATTTTTTTCATGTCATGAAGCAGATATGAAATTCAAATTAAGTGTCTATAAAAAGTTTTGTTGGAACACAGTCATGTTCATTTATGTATTGTCTGTGGCTGCTTCACACTGCAGTGGCAGTGTTGAGCAGCTATGAAGCATGGTCCACAAAGCCTAAAATATTTACTAATAAGCCCTTCATAAAAAAACATTTATCAACTCCTGGTTTAGAAATGCCTGGCACATAGCAAGTGTTTAATACAGATTCAATATTAGCTTCTCACATTATAGACTTCATGTATAGACTTCTCACAGAGTGGTCCACATGTATTGTTTCATTTGTTTGGTTTCAGTTTTACTGAGAATCCATGGATTCAAAAGAAATAGAAAGTATATTTGTATCTTTAACAAAGAGTAATCTGAGTAAAGAAACCCCAAAGTAAAATCAAATAATTAGGGATTAAATTTAAGTGACTTTCTACAAATAAAACCGATTGCACTTGAGTTTTCACGACTTGGAATTACAAATAATTCATCAACTTGGAAAATGGTCTTTGTACAAACTGGATCCCATGGCCAGCTAGGTAAAGGAGGTAATATTACTTTCCTCTGCTTTTGCTTGAGGTGGGGCTTTTCTATGAAACATTAAGTGGAGATCTGAAGGTGATTCCACTAAAACTTAAATGCCGATGGGTCTTTGGAGCCTGTAAAGTTTGAACTTAAGTGTGCATATTCTTTCTCACCATTTTTGGTGTTGCCATGATCACGTGAACTGGGCAATTACCACATCCTAACTTCAGTCTATATAGACAATTTAAATGTAGCCTTCAAGATCATACTGCTATAGGATATCATGGAAACATATGGCTATCTTAGTCGAGGTCCTTTCTTTCTCCCCAGTTAATAGAAATCTACTTAGCTAGTCTGAGCAGAATGGGGGCCAGCTACAAGGATGCTCAGGTCTGTATAGGAAGTACACTTAGGCTTCAAGTGCACTTTTACAAATGAGACTGGGAAGTCCTCTGATTCCATATGTCTGTTTCATTCTTTTTCCTTTACAGTTGCTCTCTCCATTTCTTCATTTAAGACTCCCCATACCTTCCCAATTTACTACCTGTCTCTAAAACCCAATCTCAGAATCCAAGAGGGAGAATGTAGCCCAACATAATTGAAGTGCTTATTTCAACCCAGTAGCTGCTATTTATCATCCCAGGGTGTCTCTACTTCCTCTACCATRACCTTATTTAGTCCATTGAGGAGAAATGGCAAGAGTATGGATGATTTTTAGGGTCAGTTTTGGAAAAAGGAATACACTGCTTTTGTCTGTATGTCATTAATGAGAATTAGTCATAGGCACTCCAAATGCAAGGGAAGCTAGGAAGTCTAGCTGTGTGCCCAACAAGAGGAAGAACAGATAGACAGATAGTGTTTTCTCTTTCCYGGAGAAACAATACAACTATTGGTGAACAGCGAGTGCTGTCCCTTTGATTGAAAAACATAATATAACTGCAGCCACCCAGAGTTTCACTCCTCAGAGCGTGAGAGGAATAATTCTCAGACAACAGAAGGCAGGGAGTGAAGAACACTCCAGGAGGCAAACTATTTGGGCATTAAACATAAGTTAAAGAAATGAACCTACTGCTTGCTAACCTGTCAGTTTACCATACCTCTGGAACTGTAAGGCCCTCATCTATAAAGGGGAATCATGTCACAATTCCTTGTTCATCTAAAAGGGCCTTGTGAAGTTCCAGTGAGTGCAAAAGTATGAAAACGTTTTGTCAGCTGTAAATTCCTGTTTGCATGTAAAGGTGTTATTGTTAGCTGTTGATATTTTTGCAAAAAGGTATTTGTTTTGGAATGATATTGTTGAAGCCACACAACTAGTAAATGCCACAGTTGGGATTTGAACTGTTAGTGTTGTTGCAAAGTCTCAGCTATTAAAGGTCTCTCTAAATTTCCTCTCTAAAACTGGCATAGGAATAGATCCTAATGCTTATGGTTGTTGGGAGATCAGGAATATAAAGCACTTATTATAGTACCTTGAATATAATGTGTATTCCATAAGTAGTTGCTAGTTTTTCAAGTGGAAAGTTTCCTCTTTGGTGCATTGTGTAATGTCTGTTTGCTTGATACAGGCATGACCCTCCCAGCACAGAAGTGTGCACTGGATGCATTCAGAGAAGATAAAGATAATATTCTGATTGTCACCTCAGTTGCTGATGAAGGCATCGACATTGCTCAGTGCAATCTGGTCATCCTGTATGAGTACGTGGGCAACGTCATCAAAATGATCCAAACCAGAGGTGAGAGAAGCTGTGATACAGTTCCTATATGGCTCCCACTGTATTTTTGTTTGGTGTTTGTCTGTCATTTTGGCCTATTTCCTCTACTGAATGAGGTTGAGTATACAATTGATGGTACAGGGGATTCAGGTATGTGGCTAAATGGTGACTTTGTTTGGTCTGKATTGGGTGTTTACAGTTGTACCCATTAATTTGTACCCTAGAGTGATTCTGTTCATAATGATACTGCTTACTTGCCCAACACTGACATATTTGTGAAAGGATAATTCCAACTTGGCTTGAGACTTGGCCAGTGTAGATTTTTCTAACTGGGCTGGTGGCTCCCTGTGCTCCAGAGGAGATTCTTCAGAGTTCTGTCCCACCCGGACTAGAGAATCTCCCAACTAGCCTAGTTCCTTTTCCCTTTTTTTCCAATTTCTATGACTACCACATTAATTTTCCTGAAAAACAGCTCTGAGCGCGTCACTGCCAGTACAGAAATTCTAATGTTTCCCCATTTCACTTCAAGTTTTCAAAATCCAGGACCCACTCACCTTTCCAATCTATTTCCCATTCTTCCCCTTCTTTCATTCTCCATTTCAGCCAATCAGACTTCATCATTTGCTGTTGAAAGTATCGTTAGTGTACTGCTACTATTTTTACTTCTTCCTCTGCATCCATCTTACCTGTCCCTAAGTCCCCCAGCTAGAATAAGATCTTTGAATGCCCACAGCCCTCTATGTCTATCTTCGTTCTGGTGATTGTGAACATGTCATTGCCTAAAAGGCTCTTGAGGAAGGACCTATTCATTATCATCTTAGAATCATGCTCAGAGTCATACGAAGGGTTCATGTTGAATTATCTTTAAAGTGGCATTTCTGATAATAAGGCTATACAATCACACTGTACCATTGGAGACCCTAAGAGAGCTAGCCTGAGGTAGGCTCCTGGTTTATCCATGTGTTTAWCATGCAGGTGAAAGCAGGATTCAGTGAACCAAAGTTGAAATTTTAGGAATATCTCTGTCCTTTTGTTTTTGTGTTCTCATGATATATGAGTTTTAAGTCAAAAACACCAAATAAAATATTTATTTTCCAATAGGCAGAGGAAGAGCAAGAGGTAGCAAATGCTACCTTCTGACTAGTAATGCTGATGTAATTGAAAAAGAAAATATAAACATGTATAAGGAAGAAATGATGAATGACTCCATTTCAAAACTTCAAACATGGGATAAAACGGAATTTGAAAAAAAAGTAAGTCAAATTTTCATCTGACCATAAATAACAGAAAACATGAACAGGGTTTGTACCTTTTATCATATTGTTCAGAATTTTGTGTTAGAATAGTAAGTTTGTTTTTGTTCCACAGTGAACATTAAATTTACTGGGTTTTGTTTTGTTCTGTTTTGTTTGTGGTGTTGGGGTTTGAACCTGGGGTTTTGTACATGCTAGGGAAAGTGTTCCACTACAGAACTACATACCCAGCTAAATCTGTTATATTTTAGGGTCAATGAGATTAAAATACCTGAAGTTCTGTTTTTAGATTAAATGTCATCAGTTATAAGTGAATTTAAAAAACAATTGAATGCTTAAGAAGAGAGTTTATATTTATATCCCTCTCCATTGCCTCTTCTTTTTCCATACCCCCGTCACCCGTTATGGATCAGCATCAACTAATCAGAGAGAACATTCTTTGGTTTTTTGAGATTGGCTTACTTCACTTAGCATGATACTCTCCAACTCCATACATTTACCTGCAAATGCCATACTTTTATTCTCTTTTAATTCCATTGTGTATATATACCACAGTTTCATTATCTATTCATCTATTGAAGGGCATCTAGGTTGCTTCTACAGTGTATCTATGTGAATTGAGATGCTATAAACATTGATGTGGTGCATTACTATACTATGCTAATTTTAAGTCCTTTGGAGTGGGATAGCTGGGTTAAACGGTGGTTCCATTCCAAGTTTTCTAAGGAACCTCCATTCTGCTTTCCATATTGGTTACACCAGTTTGCAGTCCTACCAGCAATGAGTGTGCCTTTTCCCTCTCATCCTCACCAACACTTATTGTTGTCTGTATTTTTGATAACTGCCATTCTGACTAGAGTGAGATGAAATCTTAGTTTTGATTTGCATTTTTCTAATTACTAGAGATGTTGAACAATTTTTCACATATTTGTTGATTGAATGTATATCATATTCTGAGAAGTGTCTGTCCAGCTCCTTAGCCCATTTATTAATATATTTTCCAGAAATATAGATTTTTTTTTGGTGTTAAGTTTTTTGAGTTCTTTATATATCCTGGAGGTTAGAGCTCTGACTTGTGGGTGGCAAAAATTTGCTCCCAAAATGTAGGCTCTCTCTTCACATCATTGTTTGTTTCTTTTGCTGAGAAGAAGCTTTTAAGTTTGAGTCCATCCCATTTCTAAATTCTTGATTTTATTTATTGTGCTCTAGAAGTCTTGTTAAGGAAGTCAGGGCCTATATCGATGTGATGAAGATTTGGGCCTACTTTCTCCTCTATTAGGCACAGGGTCTCTGGTCTAATTTCTAGGGCCTTGATCCACTTTGAGTTGAATTTTTTGTATGGTGAGAGATAGGGGTTTATTTTCATTTTGGTGCATATGGATTTCCAGTTTTCCCAGCACCATTTGTTTAAGAGGCTATCTTTTCCCCAATGTGTGTTTTTGGCTAGTATAATTGTATTTATGTGAGTTTGTTTCCGTGTCTTCTATTCTGTACCATTGGTCTACCTGTCTATTTTGGTGCCAATACGATGCTGTTTTGTTACTATAGCTTTTTAGTATAGTTTAATTTATGTATCTGAATGGATTTCTAAAATTTTGCCAGTCACTAAAGTGTGAAACGTGGTTCACATGACTATTTCATGAATATATTTAGTCCTTTTATGGCAACTTTGAAGAAGAAATTGAAAGACTAATTGAAGGCCACAAACATTGACTAACAGTCAAGAGAGCCAATAAACATATCCATGTGATATTTATAAACAAAGCAATATAAGTAGATATTGTCTATTAATGGGTGTATATGAATGATTATATATGTACTTACGTATGCTTTTATTTACACATATGTTCATTATACTTAGACTATGTTTATGAGGCTCTTTTTTTGGCACATAGGTTCACAGTATACAGATACATGATAAATTCATCAGAGATAGTCAACCCAAATCAAAACCTGTCCCTGATAAGAAAAATAAAAAACTGCTCTGTGGAAAGTGCAAAACCTTGGCATGTTACACGGCTGATGTACGCGTGGTAGAGGTAAGCAGCCTTTTATAAGAGCACCTGGTTGATTTTTAGCATAAGTTAAAACTTGATGAAATATTTATGTTAAGATTACTATTTTTTTCTGCTATGGTTCATGTATTAAAAAATACAACATCTTGCTCATGTGGTAGCTATAACCGTTGATATAGTAGAGAGACTAGTGGTCATTGTGGGCTAGGAAGGGTAGTGAGGAGGAGCAGAAGAGGCTAGATAACAGGTGCAAAGTATAGTCAGGAGGAATACATACATTCTGTTGTTCTGCAGTATAGTAGGGTGGCTATAGTGGACAACAATTTATTAAATATTTCATAAATCTTTTTTACAACAAAGCAATGATACATGTTTTAAGGAGATGAAAATGCAAATTACCCTAATTTGACAATTATACATTGTACTCATGTGTTGAATTATCTCACTGTGCCCCATAAATACAGTTGTTGTGTGTCAAGGTAAAAATTACTATCTTTTAAATATTATGAAGCTCTTCAGAATAATGGTTGTGCTAAATGCAGTGTAGTCTCAAGTAGATCCTAGAATAAAGAATTTTAGTAGAAAATCTGTAGTTTAGCTAATAGCAATATACAGATATTAGTTTCTTAGTTTTATGGTTTGTAATATGTTAGCATTTAGGGAAACTGGGTCAAAGGTATACAAAGAATTTTCTTGCAACTTTTCTCTAAGTCTAAAATTATCCCAAAGTAGAATTTTATTTAAAAATACGATTATGAAGCTTAATGTAGTATAATAAAAGTGGAAAAAATAAACTGGATACAAAACTATAAATATGCTATTTAAAAAAATCTGTTTTTAGTTGTCAGTGGATCTTTATTTATATGTGGTGCTGAGAATTGAACCCTTTGCTTCACACACGCTAGGCAAATGCTGTACCACTGAGCTACAACCCTAGCCCAATATGCTATTCTTATAGTTGCATGAAACAATAATACCATGGGGGGCGGGTACCTTTGTAAACGATATTAAAAGAAATATGCCAAAATGTTATATTCTGATGATGAGGTTCCGTGACTATTCCTACGATTTTATTTTCTAAACTTTATGGGATATGGAACACTTTTCCAATGAAAACAAAATGTTCCTTTTCGAATGTGACACTTGCAAGTCGACCTTCTGTTTTTTTATTGTTGTTTTTTTCCTTATAAATAAGGGATTAGAAAAATCTCCAAAGACAGGGCTGGGGTTGTGACTCAGTGGTAGAGCACTTGCCAAGCATGTGTGAGGCACATGGGTTCGAATCTCAGCATAGTATATAAATAAGTGAATAAAATAAAGGTACATCAACAACTAAAAATATATATAAAAGTAATTTTTAAAAAAAATYTCCAAAGACAAACATTGAGTGTAACTTGCCGTTGATGGAGAGCAGGTCGAGTGGCTGGGCTAGTCAGGTGATGAGTTATTACTTGAGAGTTCCTTTTGGTCTTCAGAAAACTAAACCTCATCAGCCCAACTATTTGGGCGAGAAGCATATTATGAGTGATACTAAGTTCCCCTGCCTTTCTTTAGCTGTAAAAGGTCCTTTTAGCTTCAATTTTTTTGTGTGATTTTTTTTTTTCTTGACAATGGCCATTTTAGAGTTTGTATTCCTGGAAGGCTAGATGTTGGAGTTGCATTTGTTTCTGTGCAGTTTATTGTAAAGCTGACTGTATGAGTGGCCGATGGACATACTGTCCATGGTGTTCTCTGGGGCACACTGATCCTTTGTTGTTGTTCCATGTGTCCTTCGGATTGTGTCTGTCCTTTCATGGACCAATTTAACACTCCACAGATCTTCAACAACTATGTCTTTTGTTTCTGAACTCAGAATATGAACTTTTAGGGGGTAAGTTTCCTGGAAATTTCTTAATCTTCCTTTTCATGAGGTACACAGTAGCATTTAATTTGAGGCCTAATGTGGCCTTCAGGTGATTCCTTTTCCAAACTGTGAAATAAGTGGGATTCCATCTGTTCTTCATCTCAGATTATTGTGGAGTATTTTATCTTAAATCACAATTATGGATTGTTTCTAACATTTTCTATATTGTTCCAACTATTCATCTTAGACATGCCATTACACTGTGGTTGGAGATGATTTTAAGGAACGCTTTGTGAGGGAACCACACCCCAGACCGAAGAGCTATGGGGGTTTTGAGAAGAAAGCAAAGATATTCTGTGCCAAAGAGAACTGCAGACATGACTGGGGAATCCACGTGAAGTATAAGGAATTTGAGATTCCAGTCATAAAAATTGAAAGTTTTGTAGTGGAAGATATTGCAACTGGARTTCAAACACGGTACTCAAAGTGGAAAGATTTTCATTTTGAGAAGATACAGTTTGATGCTGCAGAATATCCAAATGACTTCAGGGCCTGAGTCTTTAGCTACAGGGAATGGTGAGTGAAGAAATTAACCCTGTGGGGTAATCACCTATTGCTTGTGCCTCTATGAAGGTATTTTACACAAGGCTTATACTGTATTGCTCACTCTCAGTTAACTTCACCTTCTGTTGGTTTTGAACAGTTTGTACTACATCATATATGCAAAACACATGTGAGTGAATTCTCATACATTGCTGGTGGGACTGCAAATGGGCACAACCACTATGGAAAGCAGTATGGAGATTCCTCAGAAAACTTGGAATAGAACCACCATTTGACCCAGCTATCCCACTCCTCAGTCTACACCCAAAGGACTGAAAATCAGCATACTACAGTGATGCAGCCACATCAGTGTTTATAGCAGCTCAATTCACAATAGCTAACCTATGGAACCAACCTAGGTGTCCTTCAATTGATGAATGGATAAAGAAAATGTGATATATATATTCAATAGACTATTACTCAACTTTAAAGAAGTATGAAATTATGGCATTTACAGTAAATGGATGGAGTTGGAGAATATCATGCTAAGCAACATAAGCCAATCCTGAAAAACCAAAGGTCAAATGTTTTCTCAAATATGCAGATGCTAATTCACAATAAGGTGGGGGGCACTAGAGAAGAATAGCATTACCTTAGATTAGGTAGAGGGAAGGGAAGGGAGGGAAGAGAAGGGGATGTGGGATAGCAAAGATAGTAGAACGAAATAGATATTATTTTATGTATATATGTGACTGCATGACCAATATGATTCTACAATATGTACACTCAGAAAAATGAGAAATTATATCCCATMTATGTATATCAAAGTGCATAAATGCATTATACTGTCATGTATAACTAATTAAAACAAAGAAATCTAAAACAAATTCAGTTCTATCTTTTTCAGAACCACTGCCAATGCATACAATGTACCAACGCCATATACACTGAGCTAAATGAATGGGATGCTGGAAAGGTTTTCCATACCCTTATCCCCATTTCCTTAACCATTGTAAACTGGCTTTTCCCCTTAATCTGCTGTTCTTTTCAAGGCTGCCAGTGACTCTGGTTGCCAAATCACACGGCCATTTCTTAGTCCTTTTGACTTCTTTGTTGCATTTGGCTATCGTATTCTTTTCTTGAAAATTTCCCTTGGCTTCTGCCTTTCTATTTTTTTTTTTTATAAAAATAAAAGCATTTTTATTGCTTCTTCTTTGCTGATACCTTAAGTGTAGATGATTCCAAGGGTTCAGTATATACCTACACAAGTACAAGTTACATATCCTCATGTTTTCTTAATAGCAATGTGTGGCCTGGTTGGTAATCATAAAATTCTATAGTAGTCCATTTTTTAGTGGTGAGGGCACATCAGGGATACAATGCTTCCTAAGAAGTTGTTTACTTGCTCATTTAATTTGTTCTCTTAACTCATGCCATTCTTCCCTTGGAATAGTCATCTCTCAAGCCATTTTTCATTAATAGAGATTGATGCTTAACACTTGGTTTATCTGTCCTCAGTTAAGCCCTTTGGTTGCTACTGTGGAAATGCTTCAATTTTGCTGTTCTTGTTACTTTAAAAAATTAGAATATGTACTCAAATAGCATTTCTGTGTCTTTTAGCAAGGTTTGCTGATGCTTCAAAAGCTTAGTTTGGGGTTTTCCAGACATGGTAACAGTGCCTGGGTTTATTTTATTTTTGTCTTGTGTTTAGTTCTGGGTAAGATCTATAGTAATTTAAGTATCACCCCAAAACAGATTCAGATTGGTTGGTTGTTGTTCATTACGACCATTAAATGACCTAAACAAAATTCCAGAGAGTACAAAAGGTTAGTAATATGTTCAGCACATGTGATGACATGACCTTTTCAAGTAAGACATATTTATATCTGAAGGCTATTTGGAAATTACCCAGATGAACCCTGGAGATTAATAGGATAATACATTACAGCAGCTTTACTTTCCATTTCAGCAGTAGTGCTGGCAAGTAGTCAAGTAAACTTGCCAGTTACATAGGCTCTTTGTAAAGCAAGGATAACCCCAAACTGTCAGGGTTAGTGGACAGCTTTTAATTAAAATATAAGAAAAGTACAYCACACATATACACACACACACACACAAAATAATTAATTGCTTAACAATGGTTACTATAATAGTATTCTTAGATACAATAAAATTAAAACAATTTGTTGAGAGCTGATTTTTTCATTTTTCACTATTAGRATCTTTATATGTAATTACTATTCTTCGCTATTACTATTTAGGAACTTCAACAGGATATATTAAACATCTACTAGAAATGACCTACAACATACACTGTCATTGTCACTGTCAATTCTTTAATAATTAAGACCTATCTAACACTGTGTCTCCCAAATACACTGACTCTGAAACCATAATGTCACATATCAAGAAATAATGAAACTTGAGCAGGACAGTGGAATGTGAATTTCCATGCTCGTCCTCCCACAGAAACATCCATTTGAACAACTGTCCACACACAAAAACACTGTCCTAAGAGCTAAGGCTACCAAGTGGGATATTTACATCACCTAGACGTGGCACAGAAGTACAGATGCACTGAAAAAGGTTAAGAAGTGCTTTACCTCACCTGTGCCACTTCTCCCTCAATCTTAGGCAGCATAGTGCGAGGTACCCTAAGCTTTGGGCTAGGGAAGGGAAGTGAGCACTGGCTTTGCCTTGGACTCCAACACTAGGCTTGCCAAAGCAAAACCCAGTGCGGGGCAGGGCTGTGTCCCAGACTCAAAGCTTGTCTGGTAGACTGTTTCTAGGCCAATTCCCATGCCATTCATTCTGGTTCCAGGCCCACCTCAGAGTCAGGCTGGCCCTAGCACCAGACTAGCATCATAATTGCATGTCTTAGCCCTGCTGACCTGCAGTGCTACACATGAGGCTGGCTCCAGCAGACCCTAGTGGGGACAAGCTGCACTCTAGGACTGACCCTGTGAACTCAGTTCCAGAACAGTCCTCATGGACCCAGTTTCCATGCCAACCCTGCCTAGTGATTTTAGGCATCAGGTCAGTACCCACAATTCCAGGCCTCACTCATGTCCTGGCACCAGCCAATCCCTGTGGCTCAAGGCTCCAGTGGAGCCAGCATCTAGACCTACTTGAGAAAAGTGGTGCAGATTCTAGGATTACCCCTGTAGATGTAGGGCTCCAGCCAGTCAGCATACTACAGTGATTCAGGCTCAAGGATTCAGGCTCAAGGCTCACCCCAGGTCCAGGTTACCTCCTGTGGACAGAGGCCAGTTCTTGCAGTCCTGCTGAATAGAACTATTCCAGTGGACCCACACTTTGAATCCAACCTGACTCATCTATCTGCTGATCTAGATACCAGGCTAATCAGCCAAGGACTCCAGTAGCAATCCCACCCACAGACCACTCCAGATAGCCTACCCAGAATCTCTAAATGGGTTAACCAGTGAAGGGCTTTCCCACTCAAAGCCAGCCCACAAAACTAGAATAAGACCTTTTTGAAATGTGCAKATACCAAGGCATGGCTATAAGGATTAAGAACAATTAGGGAAACAGAACCCCACCAAAGAACAAAATAAAGCCAATCACTGACATCACGAGATTGGAGATTTATGATCTGTCTGATAAATAATTCAAAATGACTGTTTTAAGGAAGCTTGGCAAACTTCAAGAAAACAGACAATTCAATGGGATCAGGAAGACTGTAATAAATGACTAAAATGAGAATTTTAAGATGTTGCATTTTTTTTTTTTAGAAAATCAAATACTAGAGATGAAAACATGATGAATGAAAAGCACAATAGTGTCCATAGCAAGGACAATCCAGCAGAAGGAACACCTGTGAACCTGAAGATGGGTTATTTGAAAATATATAGAAGAAAGAAAAATTAAATGAACAAAAAGGAAACTTATGGGATTTATGTGACAGTATCAAAAGAAACATTTAAGTTATAAGAATTCAAAAAGAATGCAGAAAATTCCAAATCTGGGGAAAGAGACAAAAATATAGGTCTCCAATCAGAGTCAGTCCAAACAAGAAAACACAAAGGCATTATAATTAAACTGTTAGAAGTCAAAGACAAAGAAGAGCCTGTAAAAGGGAAGCAAAGCATATATAAGGGAGTTCCGCTAAAGCTAGCAGCAGATTTTTTTCAACATATAATTGAAAGTGCTGGGGAGAAAAAAGAAGGGAAAAAAATAAATAAAACCAAAATCAACCAAACCAAAAAACCCCCAAGAATATTGTACCTGGCAAAACTCTCCTTCAGACAAAAATTAAGGAAGTTCATTTAAAGAATATCAGTTCTTCTCAACAATTTCAAAAAACTGAAAAGGAAGTATTTCCAAACTCATTTTATGAGCCTAGCTAGCATTATCCTAATACCAAAGGCAGRCAAGGATACTGTAAGAAAATTATAGGCACATAAGCATATATGCAAAAAATTTTTAACAAACCAAATAGTATGTTCAGAGAACTCTTCATGTTGAAGTAGGTAGGATACATCCATTGGTTGCCAGAATAGTTCAGCATATTCCAGTGTATATACTATATTAACAAAAGGGACAAAAGCCATAAAATCACCTCACTAGAGGTTTAAAAAACTGACAAAATTCAATATTCTTTCATGAGAAAAATTCTGAAGAAATTAGGATTGAAGTAATTTACCTCATTCAGGCCATATCTGACAAACACACAGATGACATCATACTCAGYGGGGAAAAGTTGAAAGCTTTTCCTCTCAGGAAGAAGACAAAAGATGTCAACTCTTATCATTTGTATTCAATGCAGCACTGAAAGTCATAGAGCAATTAGGTCAGAGAAATAAAAGGCATCTAAATTATAAAGAAAAAAATAGCAGATAACATGATTTTATATGTGAAAAGTGCTAAAAACTCCATGTTAAAAAAAACTTATAATAAACAAATTCAGTAAAGCTGCAGGATACAAAAAAATCACCATAAAAATTAGTAGTATTTCTATAAATTAAAAATGAACTATCTATAAAAAGGAGTAAACCATTCTATATGTAACAGGTACAAAATAGTGCTTAGAAATACTTATACACTGAAAACAAACACTAATGAAAGAACTGAAGATGATATCAAAAAATGAAAAGATATCCCATGTTCTTTCAGTGGAACAATTAATGTTAAAACTTTCACACTATCCAAAGCAATCTACAGATTCACTGCAATTCCTATCAAATTTCCAATGTTTTTCACAGAAATGAAAACAAGTCTGAAACTTATAGGGAATCATAAAAAAACTCCATATAGTCATTCACCTTGAACAAAAAGAAGAGAACAGAGTGAATTACCTTGTCTGCCTTCAAAGTACACTACAAAACTACAGCAATCAAAATAGCATAGTACTGGCATAAAAACAGACCACTGGAAAAGAAGAGACACCCAAGAAATGAAGCCACTCATGTATGGCCAATTGATTCCTGACAAAGGAGACAGGAACACATAATGGCAAACAGACAGTTTCTTCAATAATGGTGTTGGGAAAACAGGATAGCTACATGAAAAAGAATGACATTAAACCCTTATTTCATACCACGTATAAAAATCAACTTGAGATGGATTAAAAACTTCAACATAAGACCTGACATTGTAGATCATAATAGATGAAAACACAKAGGGAAAAACTCCATGACATTGGTCTAGGCAATGATTTTTTTTTATATGACCCCAAAGCAAAAGCAACAAAATTTAAGAGAGACAAACAGGACTGCATCAAAATTAAAAAGCTTCTGCAGCCAGGCAAACAGTAAAAAGACAACCTACAGAACAAGAGGAAATATGTGCAAACCATACATTTGATAAGTGGTTAATAACCAGAATAYATAAAGAATTATAACTCAATAACAAAAAACCAAGTAATTAAAAAATGAGCAAAGGACCTGAATAAGCATTTCTCAAAAGCAGCACATAAATGGCCATTGTGGAAAAGAAAAAATGCTTAACAATATTATCAGGGAACTTAAAATCAAAACTACAAGATAGCCACTCCAGACCTGTTACAATGGTCATCAACACTTACCTTTCATGATGAAAGGTAAGTGTTGGTGAGGATGTGGAGGAAAGGGAACACTGCACACTGTTGATAGGAATGTAAATTAGCATAGCCATTATGGGAAACTTTATGGAGACCTCAAAAAGCTAAAATGATCACTATATGATCCAGCAATCCCATTTCTGGGAATATATCCAAAGAAAATTAAATCAGTATGTTCAAGAGATATCTATGCTCCTGTGTTTACTGCAGCATTATTCACATTAGCCACAATATGGAATCAGTCAAAGTACCCATCAATGGATGAATGGAGAAAGAAAATGTGATATGTATTCATATACATACATAATGAATGCTATTCAACTTGAAAAAATAAAATCTTATAACTTGCAACAATATGGATGGACCTGGAGGACACTATGTTAAGTTAAATTTAAGTCAGTACAGCAAGATAAGTACCACATGATCTTTCTTATGTATGGAATCTAATGTTAAATTCAAAGAAGTAAAGAATAGAAAGGCAATTAACAAGGGTAGTCAGATGTCAAAGGATACAAAATTTCATTTGGGAGGAATAAGTTCAAAAGCTCCATTGTACAACATGGTGATCATAGTTAATATATTCTTGGAAATCACTAAGTATTCTCACTACAAAAAATATGCAAGGCAATACATAGGTTAATAAGCTCTATTTAGCCATTCTACAATGTTTATGCATTTTTAAAACTTATATATAGTAAACACATAATTTTCACTTGTCAATTAAAATTTTTTAAGATACAAAGAAAAAATTCAAAACACATTCCACTTTAATCAATAACAGAAGCACTGACTGGATTGGAGCCAAGGCTCGGCTCTTTAGCTCTCTGGTTCTCACGAGATAGGGAACCCCAAAGGCACAGGTGAGCAGGCCCACAACATGAGAGGGTAAGAGGCAGCAGGCTGGCTTCCAGAGGGGGGAGAGAGAAAGAGAACAGACAGGGAATTAAAGAAATTTACACCTGATCTACAAATTGCTAAGATYTGGAAGTCCCATACATTCCAGATGTTAACTGTCAGCCGTTTATAAAATCAGCTTTGAAATCTTGGCACTTCTATATATTAGACTTGTAAATTATTATTTAGCCTCCGTGATAACTACAGTGGAACCACTAATACTTTTCCTATATTGCTAACATTATATTAAAATGTGAACTTATTACAAGATTAACTATAAGGTACCTTGTCATGAACTGAATGTTTGTGCCCTCCCAAAATTCATATGTTGAAGCCCTAACCCCAATGGTAGTGTGGAAATAGCAACTCTTAAGAAAAATAATTTAAACTTAATTAATATTAAATGAGGTCATAAGGATGGGACTGTTATCTTATATAATTAGTGTTCTTCTAAAACACCAGAAAGACAATCCTCTCCCTTTCCTTCTTCTGGTGCATATCAAGGAAAAGTCACCTATAAGTCTTGACCTACAAGGTCAAGAGAATGCTCACCACAAATTGAAGGAGCTAGAACCTTGATTTCCCAGGTTTCAGAACTGCAAGAATATCAATTTCTGCTGATTGTCACTCAGTCTGTAGCATTTTGTTATGGCTGCCCATGCAGACTAAGACATGCCCTGAAATGGATTTAGTGATACAAATGAGCAAATAAACTCTAAAGCTAATCTGCTCACTATTCTCAACATCCTTGCTACTGCTACCAGGTACTAGGCTACTCTTCCTTCATCTGCTGCTCCCAAACAGGGCAGGCAATGTAGTAGTTCCTCAACACTTCTTCTGTATCTGCACAGTCCAGAGGTATGTTTAGAAATAGAAGAACATGAAAGTCATTCAGACTTCAGGATGAAAGTGCTTTAAATATTGTAAAACTGGATTTCAAAGTCAACAAATTTTCCATGAAAATATATTTAATCTTATTCAAATCAGAAATGTTCTATGTCTCCCAATCCATCTCCAAACAAAGGTCTCCTTGACAGATAAAATGTTTCCTGGGGAAAATTTCTGAACATAATAAAGAAAAATTTTTACTGTTATGTGGATCCATCAAAAGGTACATCATCAAAAAATTCAACGTTTGACCTGACCATGAGGCATCTGGATTACTCACTCTGAAGGGGGATCGCAATCACTACCATGATTTGAAGGGTGAAAAAGTTCTTACCTACCTATGCCAATTAACACTGGTATAAATTGCAAAGGAACAGAACCCTTAAGAGAAGGGTTTCACTGAGCAGAGGAAAACAGAAGAGCAAGGGAAGGGTAGGAGGGAAAACAGGGTAGGAGACATCTTCCAAGAAGACTTGCTAGTGCTTAGCTGAAAATTAATAGGGAAGAGTGAAAACAAATCAATGTCACTGATTTAAAGACAGGCTGGTTMTCTTTCTGCATTACTGATCTTCCCATGATTACAGCTTCCAAATTCTAGAAAAAGATTCAAAGATTAACAATAACAGAGAATGTAGAAACTTTTGGCTTTGTGCCTCCAGGAATGGCACCCAAAATGCAGTGTTTACTTGCTGTCTGCAAGGAAGTTTCTCCACTAGGGTCCCAGCTGGCTGGGATCCCATGGGGTGCAGCACCTAGTGCGGATCTTCTAAGAAACAAGGGCCTGCCTGGCCATCTTGCGTATCATGTAGTTGAGGATGCCTCCGTTGTGGAAATAAGTAAGCTCCACATCAGTGTCGAACCTCATGACAGCCTGGAAGGTCTTTCCAGTATCCAGCTATAATGAAAAAGAAGCAGAGAAGAATCGCTGAGGAAGAAGGTGAGACACCTGTCTTAGGGATTCTGTCCAGTCTCCCCTTAGTCTCCCACTTAAGGTGTGGTTCACTTTCCGGTGCATTTAGGAACAGATGGTCTCTTCCCCCATCCTGGACAGTGATCAGAACCTGCATTTTGACAAGACCCTGAGAGATTGCTCTGTCCACTAAACTTTGAGAAGCAAAGTTTAGTGCACTGAARAATATAAATGATGGAAGTGAGAGGCAACTGAGAACTAGAACAGCTTCTAAGGGCTGTAGCCACTAGTGACAATGGAATGGTATTTTCTAAACCTTCTTTGGGGTCTTCTTGTGGACAGAAGTGTCTCAGCATCAGAGGTTTCACTGAGGTTGTCCTTTACTATCTCTCTCCTACCAGGGTGCTAAGTCACCCTGGGATGTTAGTGCTGGCAATTCACCCTTATCTAGAGAGGTAGGATTGGAACCGATGAATCATTCTATAAACAGAAATAAACAATATATCAACAGGTATTATCCTTGGTATGCTGTGAAGGCAGGTGGGAAAGGTGTCAGCTGGACTCTGAGTCTAATGTAGTCCTGAGTGACTTATTTTTCCCTCTCAAATCCCATTCATTTCCTTCGCTGGGCGTGGTGGCACATGCCTATAATCCCATCAGCTTGGGAAGTGGAGGCAGGACGATGGCAAGTTCAAAGCCAGCCTCAGCAAAAGTAAGGCACTAAACAACTCAGTGAGACCCTGTCTCTAAATAAAATACAAAATAGGGCTGAGGATGTAGCTTAGTGGTCGAGTGCCTGAGTTCAATACTGGGTACCTCCCAACCCTGCAAAAGAAAATTGTCTAAAAGGGCCCTTCAAAATGCATCCTAGTGTAGAGAAGGTCCGGCTTACCTTAACCTGGACTTTCATTTGTGGTTTGAGGTTCTCTGGAATGACAATAGTGTATCGTTCCCGTCCTGTGAGTCCCAGGGTGTCTGCATTCTCACCAGGGAGATATTCAAGGGGGATCACTCCCATTCCAACCAAGTTACTGCGGTGAATGCGCTCATAACTCTCAGCTAAAACAGCTTTGATTCCCTGATGAACAAAGAGAATAACACAGTCCCAATTTTTTTTTTTAGGCATACAGAAACTTTTCAAAATGCTTAAGTCAAACTGTTCTCACAGCTAAAGTCTCTCTAAATACTTGATAATATTTCACTTAAAATATCCTAACATTAATTAGAAATATAGTAGCAAGTCTTACCAGATTACCTATAGTGTAAGCACTGACATGAATTCTCTCATTCCACCCTCCACCAAATGGGGCACAGCAGATGCTACCATTCTGCCCCTTTACCAGGTATTCAGTGTTGGGATCTGATATTTGAACCTATGTGGTCGGACTCCGCACTTAGCCACTCTGAGATCCAAGATCTCTTAGCAAACTTCCATTATATCCAGAACTCATACCATGAATCAACATAAAGAAAATTCATTTCCTGAATTTTTCTATTATTATAGGTTTATCAGCAAATACAGAAGGTTTAACCAAAAAAGAAACTTTCTGAATATATTATGAAATAAATGATTACTACTTGTATACTTCCTGTTTCAAGGATGAAACTGATTGAATACAGTCTTGATATTAAGCTTCCTATAAAGGACACTTTTTTGATAAAGTATAATTGGTCGTATGTATATAGCAATAGTCAATAAAACAGGGTACCTGACTACCTAGAATTCTCCATTAATTATTAATAGTTGATGTTAATTATAATATTGAGGTACTCTAAAAGGTACCTTGGTATTTAGCCCACACCTTTGAGACACCACAGACTGAGTGACAATCAGCAGAAATTGATATTCTTACAGTTCTGAATCCTGGGAAGTCAAGGTTCTAGCTCCTTCAGTTTGTGGTGAGCACTTTCTTGACCTTGTACGTCAAGACTTACAGGTGAATTTTCCTTGATATGCACCAGAAGAAGGAGAGGGAGAGGATTGTCTTTCTGTTGTAATTGTATAGGATAACAGTCTCATCCTTAAGACTTCAATTTAATATTAATTAAGTTTAAACATTTTCTTAAGAGTTGCTATTTCCATACTACCACGGGGGATTAGGGCTTCAGTCAAATATATCATACTTAGGGAGTTTATTAAAAATTTTTATTATAAAAAATTAAATATTCTTGAATATTTAACCAGGTCTACTGAATCAGAATGTCTTGTGTATGGTGGGAGGAACCAGTGACTTTTATGTGCTGGAGAACTATGGCCATAGAACAGTAGTTCTCCATTTGATTTCTTCCCCATTCGTGAAAAATCCAGGGAGATCTTAATAATCTGATATAGTCAGAAGCATGATTCAGAAATCTCCATTTAATTTTTTTTTCCCAAAAACAGTGGTTCTCAAACTCTGTTGTATATCAATCTCCAGGGAAGACTTTTAAAATCTAGTGTCCAGGACTTTGTTCTTACCAATTAAACTAGAATTTCTGGGGATGAAACATAAGACCAGGTGTTTTTTTTTTCTTTTTCTTTTTTTAATATTTTCTTTAGTTGTTGAAGGATCTTCATTTTATTTATTTATTTACATGTGGTGCTGAGAATTAAACTCAGGGCCCCACACATTCGTTAGGCAAGAGCTCTACTACTGAGCCACACACAACCCCAGTCCCTGTTTTTTTTTTTTTTTTGTTTTTAAAAAGGTTACAGATGTCTCCAATTTGAGAATCACTACCACAGGGGAAGGGAAGATTCTTTGGGGCAGTAGTGATTTTGTAGAGATTTTTGAGATTTTTGTACATTTGTATTTATTCTGGGGAAGAGGAAAGCCTTCTAAATACAAGGAGTCATGTCCCTAGCTCTGTGTAAATGGCCGTGCAGCAGGCACAGAGTTGGCAGCCATATGAGTGGCCCAGTTCGGACAGCGAGGACTCAGAGAAGTAGAGACTTTGGTGTCCCTTTGATGCTTTATTCTCTTTTTATCCCTCTTCCCCACTTGTCTTCACTGCCCAGTTCTCATTTCTGCCATCAGCTCTCAACTCCCTCCCTAAAGTCTTTTTCTTTTTATAAAATTTATCTKGTTCATTTTAGCAGTTTCCAGCAAAGTCAGGCCTCTGACCTATTACCAACTAATCAGAAAACATTATTTTTTTCCCCTTAGAGCAAAATGATCAATAAAATAATAGGTGTGATGTTGGAAGACATTTGCAGAGGCCAGGCTAGCTAGAGGGCTGCTAGGCAGCCAGAGCTTTTTACTGTACTGTGGATATTGACTAGTATTTCCCAAGTGCATTGATTTTCTTGAGCTATAAATTATTTATATTAAGGTGAGCTAAGACATTTTTACTTGATCCTTAGGATTAAAGCCAGCAACACAGTTTTCCCCTGATTTCAGATCAAGAAAATACTCAAGAGGGAAAAGCTCTCTGCTTGGCCCACCCTATGGGGACACCTCAAACAGGGTGAACCCTGAATTTGCAGAAGGCTCTAGAGAGCTCTTCTCTCACTGAGATGAGAAGCAGACTTTCATAGGCAGTGAAAAAAAACTCTAAAATGTACACACTCCTAGTTTTTCCAAGAGACCTGGAGCCTGTTCTTGTCAAACCAACTTCTGAAAAAGCCCAGGTTCCTTAACATTTCCCTTCTGTGAACCTTACAATATCTGTGGCTTATTCCTTACATTCATCTGGGACAGTGGCCTTAAATAGATTTTAGGTCCCCAAGCTCTGAGAATGTTATGAAAACCATAGAACTTTTCCCTAAAAAAATACAATCTGGATATAATGTCGGAGACTTAACAAACCTCCTCCCATTGATCTGTAGACAATGAATGTCTGACTTAAGGAAACCAGTTCAACTTTGTAATATTACTTTTCACTGAGCAAAATGAATCTAGATACACCAAAAGCAGAAGGTAAATAACCATTACATGTTTTCAGAGCTTACTCTTCCATGCCATCTTGGAAAGCAAAGCAACAGAATTTATACTTGGGCACCTTCCCAGCTTCTCTTCCAGTTTGGAGAGGCAGCTACTTCCTTGAATGTCTCTGCTTTATACTCACCAGCAGGAAAGGGCCCTTGGCAGCCCAGTCTCGGGAGCTACCTGAGCCATACTCTTTGCCAGCCAGAACAATTAGGGGAAGGCCTGCTTGTTGATACCGCTCGGCAGCATCAAATACATCAAGCTGAAAGAGAGAAAAGGAAAGTTTTACAGATGCAAAAGAGGCAAAAAGCATGGTTACAGGCCTAGTAAGCCCTGGAGTCACAGGGTCAGAGGGGTCTGTGAGAGCCAGGTCATAAAGCCAGTGCAGAACTCAAACAACTGGCTGTGTGGACTATAGCCCCCAATGAACTCAACCTATTTATTTCTATCAAACTGAATTTTATATTTTTGACTTAAATGCCTACATGTTGTCCAGTTTTCTAAAAAAAAAAAAAAATTCAAATCCTAGGGCATGGGGGAAGAAAACTAGATCAGCTTTTCTTCCCCTTTTTCCATTGACTAAACTATCTAAAAACTCAAAAACCAGAGAATACCACCTATGCCTCAGTTTTGACTCAGTATCAGACCCAAAACTAATTAGTTATGAAAGGGAGAAAACAGTAGGTAACAGGCTCTATAAATCACATAAAATGCCAATTTTTGTTATTTTCTACTTGCAGGCCATTGGTAGAGATAGCATAAATATGGATGAAAGCATGAATCAATAAAGATCAGGGAAGGATTAGCTACATTCATACATGAGAAATATCTTAAACAGATTTGTTTCTCACAGCAATCTGAATATTCTGCTAAGATGAGACTTCACCAAGACATTTGGTATTACTATTGGTAACCAAGTAATGAAACAATTATTTTTCCTAGCTATGTAAGTCAGAAAATAAAATCCCTTAAAATGGAATGTATATCATTTCAAAGGAGCTCAAGACAAGCATTTAAAACTCTGAATAGGCTTTCCACAAATTAACTTGGTGGACTGATAAGAGTTAATTTTAAATCTGGGAAGATCCTATATATCTTCAGCTGAAGAGAACTCATGAACATAAAACCTGTTACAAAAGCACTAAATGCCTTCTTCTGTTTGGTCAGGATCCTTTCAGAGACCAGGAAGAAACAACCTACTATTTTCAGAGATATTAGTTTTGCATATTAAGAATGTGTTTTAAGAAGTGTCTGTTTAAAAAGTGCTTTGAAACTAGAGAAAATGGGCAGGGAGATAGCTCAGTACAATAGCACTTGCCTAGCATGCATGAGGATTAGGGTTCAAACCTATCACTACATTTAAAAAACAAAAACAAATCCCCAGAAAACACCTATAGCAAAACTGAGGATTCCATGGCAAAGCAGTTCGTGTTACCCAAGAGCAGAGGGATTATGCAGGTCTGGAATTTGGGTACCCTGATGCTCCATCTTCCATGTACTCTCCCTTCTCGTCTAAACAAGTAATATGCCATTTCTTCTGTTACTGTGCTGTCTCTGCTTACTGTTTAAACTGCTAGTTCTTGTTTCTCCATCTGTCATCAGTTCCCTACTTTGCTCAAGAGGATTTAGTTCTCTTTACCACTGCCCTTGCCAATACACAACCTCTCATTATAGTTATGCCATAAATTTTGATAAGCAAATATTTGTTGTGTACATTATTATGATTATACAAATTCTGTTTGCAGCTGAGCCATGTAATGTATTATGATTTCTTCTTGGCAATTTTGACAACATTTCTACTGCAATTAGTCATTTTCCTTTTTTGGTGTGCTCAACCTGTGTCTACACTCCTACCCATTAACTAATCCTTAAACACTCAGCCTACAGCACAAACCATCTTTAATATATTGAAATATATCAGGCAATCTATCATTTTAAAATGTCACGGTGGCACCACTCCTGGAGCCCTTGGTCTGTACTAATCTGGACTGACTGCTCTGGATGCTCAGTGCATTCCTGTGACAGATAAGCTTMTTTCCCCACCATCCAGGGGATTCTCTTCAGCCCTTTTTCTTGGATCTTGCATCCCCCCGATTCACCAGGCAGCTTCCAGAGAGAAGGACTGAGGGATATCTTTTAAGCTTTTGGATCTCTGAATATGTTATTGCCTTCAGTGCACTTGGCTGGCAATAATCATTTTCCTCCATCTAAGCTTCCAGTATTGCTATTTAGCAGCCTAGAGCACTTCTGATCCAATCATTGCATGCAAGCTGTTTTTCCCTTTCCAGAAGTTTCTAGACTTTTCCTTATCTCTGTTTTCTTGATTTCACAATGATGTGAATTAGAGTGGGTCTCTGTAAAGCACTGGTTAGGTATTCAGTGAATTTTTCAATCTGGATCCTCAGATACTTTAGTTGGGGAAAGTTCTTTATTGTTATTACTCTGATAATTTCCTTCTATCTTGTTTGTTTTCTTTTTAGTACCTATACTTAGTCAAATCTTGGGCCTCCAGAGTTCAGTTCTTAATTTTCTTCCATCTTCTAATTTTCTCTTTGTCATTCTGTTCTATATTCCAGGAGACTTTCTAAATTAATTATCTTTTCCTCTGATTTTTTTGAGTGACTGTTTTGTTTTTAATTCATTTCTCTGAAGAGGTGATTCTTTTTCTTAAAAGTTTTCTATCTTTTGCAAGGTCTCTGTCCCCCTACAGCACCCTTCTTTGTATAGGTTGGTTTTTCAAGTTCAAATCTTGGTTCAAATGCCTGCTCTTCCCTGATTATATGTCCTTATTTGAAATGAGGCACTAAGCATCTAACTAGAAGTCAGTCCTACATCATGACTGAGTTACTCTGACATATTTTATTGTCCCTGCTCCCATCTTTCCCCTTAGTCTCTTGGGTATTCCATCATTTGTATCTACCTTTTCCATGTGATAGTTTACGATCCCTGCCACTCATTAAACAAGCATCTGCTGGCTTGTCCTGGTGAGGACCCAATTATCTCAAAATAAAGCACCTGCCTGACAAAAATATAGTCAGTTGTGAGTATAGAAGCATGTGGGGAAGTCAAGGGCACTGACTTTAGAGCCAATCCTTGGGTTTTAATTTCTAATTTTTTTTTTTCACTGCAACCTTAGAGAGTTATTTGACCTCTCTATGCTCAGGTTCTCAACTTAAGTACAGATAATTATTACATCTGCCTTAAGGGGTTGTGAGAGCTAAATAAGTCCATATATGGAAAGGCTTATAAGAATACCCATAATATAGCAAGTTCTGTAGAAATCTTGGCTGCTATTATTTTTTAAATAAGTTGGCAAGGTTATTTCTCAAGCAGGCTAAACAGTTTACAAGCAGTTTCTCAGCATTCCCTAGGAAGGGGAATGACACTGAGGACCTACATCCTGTGGCAGACACTATGCCAGGTTTTACACATCATTCCATTTCATTTTAAGCCTCAAAGTCGTATGAAATAGGTATGATTTCTACTTCACAGGTAAGAAAAGAGAAACTCAGAGAAGGAAACCACCCACCAAAGGATCCACATCTCATATGAGGTAGTGCAGGACTTAAGCCCAGCTTCACATGGTTCAAGGTACAGGTTTCCCAGCTGCTCACAGAACCCACATTGTAACACAAGCCTAGCTGGAATATACCAACTTCAAATGGCTTCCCTGATAACTCAGGCCTATAAGGGTCTYTGTATTCCTTGTTCTAGTAGATATAGTGCCTTAAATGCTAATAAGTCATACTGTAACCCTTCTTGAGAAAAATATTCTCTAACCTGAAATTKTCCCAATATATAATTGGATGAAATTTCACTCAAACTTTCAACTCCCTGGAAGTAAGACTTGGTTAAACCACAGTGCAGAATCTCTTAGGTAAAAATTTCTATCAGTGATGAACTCCACACATATGGGCACATGGAAAGAGGAACTGTAGGAAGCCAGAGATAGAATAGAGTTGGAAAAYAAAAATGAAACCTAAAGAAAAGTCACTGTAAATAACCAGCCTCCAAGAGCCCAAAAAACACAGGTTTCTGAAGGAAGCAGAAGAGAGGATACTCACAGTTTCTCCAGAAGGAAGATGTATAGTCTGCGGTGCCTGCTTGTTCAAAAATTTATTTAACAAGCGAATGTTGGCAAAGGTTCCCCGTGCCATGATGGCATCATTCCCTCGGCGGGAGCCATAGGAGTTRAAGTCTCGAGGAGTTAGGCTAATAATGCAAGCAGAATAGGAGCTAGTTTAGTGAAGTTAGCCAAGATTAAACTTAGCTTACACCAGAAAAGGAAAATACCATAAACCTGCCATTTCTCTAAGTCTACTAAGGTGTACTCCAAGGCAGAAGAGCTGTTGTTATAGCTTCACCTAGGGGCAGAGTGACAAGTCAGGTGGAGAAGAGCAGGAATCAATATTCACCTTGGGTCAACTTGGTGCATTTTATATTTGGATAGAAAAATCAGGAGGAATTCTAAAAAGAGTATTTATTACTCAGTTGGGTAGCTTATGAAGTTTCACATAACATAAAACAGCTAACTTAAATTTAAGAAAATAGAAATAAGAGAATAATCAGCGTAGATCAGTCTGATGGAGTCAAAGATGGGAGACAACAAAACACATTCCACAAACCAACCAGAAGTAAATTCAAATGCATACCCACGTTATGAGGAACTCAATGCAAAAAGAAGCCACACATTGACAACGTAATTTACAACTTTCATAATATAAAAATCAAAGCAGTGCCAAAGAGGCAGAACATCTATTTCTGGTCCCAGAACCAGAGAAATATCCTATTTGTGGGAACCAAAAAAAGGAAACTGTGATGTCAAGAACATTATCTTACAATTAATACAGTGAACAGGTCACCAGCTTGTTCTTTAAAATACAAGGGGGTGGCTGGGCATGGTGAAGCAAACCTGTAATCCCAGTGGTTCTGGAGACTGAGGCAAGWGGGTCACAAGTTCAAAGCCAGCCTTAGCAATGTAGCAAGGCCCTAAAAAATTTAGCAAGACCCTGTCTCAAAGTAAAAAATGAGAAGGGCTAAGGATGTGGCTCAGTGGTTAAGTGTCCCTGGGTTCAATCCCCAGTACCAAAACAAAACACAAAAACAAAAACCAACCAACCAAGGGGATGGGTGTGAGTATTAACTTGATTTATGGTTACAGATTCATTTGATGACTGGGTGTCAAGAGCAGGCAAACATGCCTATGAATCCTTGAAATCCTATTCAAAATGCTTGCTTCCTTTCAGCTCACCAAGGATTCCATATGTCAAACGAGGTCAAGAATCACCACTAGAGAAAAAGTGAGTGGATTCTATTACTCAAATTTGCTCTGGGCCCCATCCCTAAAAGAGTTGATTCTGGAAGAAGGGACAAGAACCAGTAATTCTTATTTCCCCTTATAACTCTCATAGTCAGATTTAGGAACCACTGACTTCAGTTAATATCAGTATATTAGATAATAGGCAATACTGATATACTCCCCGTGAATATCAGTATATGTCTAAAGAACTGATGAATGGATGAATGAACTGCAAATTCCTGAAGCAGTTCTGTGTTTACAAAGAACCACAGCTATAAAGACATAGCAAAAGCATTTTGGGTTATATCACTGTGGGCCTGAAGCATAAGCTACATCCACCACTAGATAACAGATGAGCCTAACTTACACACTTGCTCAAAAAGAAGACTGTTTTCCCCTCCCATTGCTGGGATTCCTGCGCTATGAACAAACAGAAAAAGTGACTGATTTTTGAATTCCAGACTCTGGTTCCACAGAGACCATGTAACGAGAAACACTGGCCCTCTCCATTTCATTTATTCTACTTTGGCCTTTAGTCTTTTCCACCTCACTCATACTTACCCTCTATTAGTTAAGTAACGAGCAGCAGGGCTATTTCTTGCAATATTTCCAGCTGGAGAGATGTGGTCAGTTGTTACTGAATCTCCCAAATTTAATAGAACGTAGGCATCCACTATAGATTTAGGGGGCTGAAGATCCAAAGTCTAGTAAAGAATAGAACAAGTCCATATTTACCCAGGTTTTCTCAAAAAGTCACTAGGTGAGACTCAATAGTAGGAGTCCATGAAACTGGACCAGGTGACAGTGCTATATAAATGGATAGAATAGCTTAGTTTTCTGGGTTTAAGCAAGGGTGCTTAGAAAAAGTAATGTGAACTTACTAAAAAATTCATATCTCAACCTCAAGAGAAGGCCAAGTATTGGCATGTCTGGCCAAAAGAGACATGAATGCAGCTGCAAATGACATTCATTCTTCTCCATAGAACTCAATTACCAAGGATAACTAGAATCCCGATTTCTCCCTTCCCCTTCCACAGTGACCATCGAGGAGCAGGGTGGGTGGGGGTAAGATTTTAAACGTGGTAGGTCCTGGGGATGTTCTTTCAGAACAGTCCCTCAGACTTTGCAGGCCCTTATTCTAGTGGCAGCTATCATCATGATGCCTCTGCAGAGCCACACAGAGAAACTATCACTACAGCTAAGTAGCTGACTCCTAAAACATTCCTTAGCATTATCTGCTTGACTATACAAAGGTGTTTTTTTTTTTTTTTTTTCTTTTTTTGGTGCCAAGGATTGAACCCAGGGGCACTCAACAACTGAGCCATATTCCTGGCCCTTTTCATTTTTTATTTTGAGGCAGGGTCTTACTAAATTGCTTAGGGCTTTGTTAATTGCTGAGGCTTTGAACTTACAATCCTCCTGTCTCAGCCTCCCAAGCCACTGGGATTACAGGCATGTGCCACTGTGTACAGCATGAATGTACAAAGGTTTTAATGAAATGGATAGTCAAAGCAAAGGTATGGAATAATAAAGTGGATTTTATGAGATAATAAAGTGGATTTTATAAGGATAGAAACCTCTTAAAGAACTTGTTTTGTTAAAAAATAAAAAGTCATACCAGATTTTCAAAGAATGGTGGTGATTTAATATATGTAGATTTGGGATTCCAGAAGTACAGCTTATCTGATGGAGCTCCTAAAGCATTCCAGCTTTCATTCACAGTCTTTAAAAAAAAAAAAATTTAATCATAATCTATTCCAGGGAAAATTTAAATATGCAAACACAAAACATTCAAGCTGAGGTACAATAACAACCATTTTTATTGTAAATAGTCACATACAAGAGTTCCTTTATACTAAGACAATGTCACGCTAACTTAAAAATAAATAAGCTCTGATATAAGAGGGCTATAAAATGGCAGGAATGGTCCTATCCCCAGGATTTATACCCTTAGGTAACCCCCCTCCCGTCCAGCATTGGCTGATCCTATGACTTATTTCCAAGATTAGGTTATAAAGACACTTTGCCTTCTGCTTCTCTTATTTACTGGCTCTGATGGAAGCCAGCTCCCATATTGTGAACTGTGAAGAGACGCATGCATAAGATGCTTTAGGAGATCCCTAGCTGATAACCAGTGGAGAACTGAGGATCTTAGTCTCATATTACATGAGTGAGCCTAAGTGGATACTCCTCCAGAGACCACAGCCTCAATGATATTTTGCTTCGAGTCCTGAAAGTACTGGCACCCAGTGATGCTATATCTGTATTCCTAACTCAGAGGAACTGAGATAATAAATATTTTTTTGTTTTGATTTTCTCAGTTTTGGGGTAATTTGTTATATAGCAATAGATAATGAATACATATAATTAAAGATAATATTTAAAATAACAATCCAAATTGTACCAAAGGGGAAACTACTCTGGATATTTTTAGGAAGTAGACTTCCAGGTCACATGGACACTGGATAGCAAGTAACCATTGCAATGTTTTAAAAATGAACTGAATTCTCTTCACAGATCCATTAACTTGGCCTTTGGAGAAATGTGTTTAACCAGATGGCTGCCAAGCCTCCTAAAATCCAGTGAGCAGCTTGTGGAAGGGTACGGGATGCCTCAATACAACTAACCATTTCACTCTGTCCCCAGACAGTCCTGCTTTCATTTCAAACCAGTCAGAAGCCTTGGCCAGCTTAACACAAAAAGCAACAAAAGGAACCATATCCAATGATAACAGGGTGTTTGAGCCTTCACAAGCCTCCAAGGAAAGGAAAAACAACCAAGAATCTCCAAAAATGATACAGATTTATAAAATGCACTTTACTTTTCTTATTTCAGCAGTTTGTGGCTAATTCCTACTGAGGTTTTCTTTCTTTTTTTAAACACCCAAATAATGCATTAAGAGGTACATTCAACCCACTGATTCCACCTCAGTGACACAACACAGTGACCATCAGGGTCCTCACCACAGATGACACACATCCCAGGGTATCTGAGAAAAGGGTGGTGCTGAACCTGAGGCCTTTCTTCTTGAGGCTCTCACACACTTGTCCATATCTGAGAACAACTGGGGAGTGTGAGATTCATAGAAACATGAAATCATGGGAGAAAACTGCCTGAGAATCACCTCCTTAGTTATCTGAAGAAATAAGGGTTAATTTCTT